ATCCACGCCTTGTTGAATGGTCCTTGAAAAAATATTCTTTATAAAATCCACGCCTTGTTGAATGGTCCTTGAAAAAATATTCTTTATAAAATCCACGCCTTGTTGAATGGTCCTTGAAAAAATATTCTTTATAAAATCCACGCCTATAAAATGTTGAATGGTCCTTGAAAAAATATTCTTTATAAAATCCACGCCTTGTTGAATGGTCCTTGAAAAAATATTCTTTATAAAATCCACGCCTTGTTGAATGGTCCTTGAAAAAATATTCTTTATAAAATCCACGCCTTGTTGAATGGTCCTTGAAAAAATATTCTTTATAAAATCCACGCCTTGTTGAATGGTCCTTGAAAAAATATTCTTTATAAAATCCACGCCTTGTTGAATGGTCCTTGAAAAAATATTCTTTATAAAATCCACGCCTTGTTGAATGGTCCTTGAAAAAATATTCTTTATAAAATCCACGCCTTGTTGAATGGTCCTTGAAAAAATATTCTTTATAAAATCCACGCCTTTTGAATGGTCCTTGAAAAAATATTCTTTATAAAATCCACGCCTTGTTGAATTCTTGAAAAAATTCTTCCTTGAAAAAATATTCTAAAATCCAATTTGAATGGTCCTTGAAAAAATATTCTTTAAAAAATCCACGCCGTATTTATCGCATTGAATGGTCCTTGAAATTGCACGGAGCAACAAAATCATGAAGACAAAGCAAAAATTGAATAAGGCGAAAAGGAAAAATATCCATAAATAATCTTGGGGCATTTAAATGTGCTTTTGTTTGCCTTGCTATTCACCATGTCGCGCGATAACACCATAAACAAGTTAACCTAAACCGCCATCTAGCCACCTCCACCAACAAAAACGGACTAGCAAATTTTCACAATCAACAATAAATAAATTGGGTTATTATTTATTGTCAGTGGACTTGTATTTTTTTCCTTTTCCTCCTTCGTCTCCTTTTACTGCTTGATCTCCCTCCATGTTATTTTATTTAGATTAAGTCACGTGGCAAGAAAGAGGACAAACATTATTTTCCATGTTATGACAAAAAGTGTAGAAGAACAACTATAAATTCTTAGAAAGTGAATATTTGTCTTTGGTGTTGGTCGCGAGTTCATGAAATTGAAAATAACAAAAATTATATTTTGAAAACAACATTAACAAGTTAAGGGAAAATAAATTTGAATCTAAGAAAAATATGACCAAATGTGTTATAACTACATCAATTAGGGAACTTAATTTTTTAAAGTAGATCAGATTTTTCAAAAGCCCCCAAATAATTTAATTTTGGAAACCAATTAAGAGACCTCTGCAGGTATTCTATAAATAGAAAACTTCCAATAGCGGTTTGGAAAAGTATTTTTTAATATGCGCTGAAAAACGTATTTCAAAAATTCGCGCTTTAAAGTAATCCTTCTTAAAATGAGCGCATTTCGATAAGTTTGGAAAAAATATTAAAAAAAAACCGTCTTAGATAGGTCTTGAAAAAATATTCTTAAAAATGGGAGATGGGAGCCGAGAATTTATCTATAAAAAATCTATCAGCCCTGGGGATCTGAACATTTTTTCTATAGAAAAAAACTATCAGTATTTGCGGTTTGAGAATTTTTTCATTCACTCTGCTTTCTGGGTAGACCAGAAAATATCCTTTGTATCTAGAGTGATGTGATATTTTTTCATCTGTTTGCCGGTTTCCCTAGTTCTTTTAAAGGTTTTGTATTTGTTATAAATTTTTGAGTTGGCCCCCCATCCTAGACGGGGTGTTCGGAAATACAACAATCCCACATAAACATTGAGAGAATATTTGAATGTTTGAAGTGGTTACATCACGTCTGTGAATTTTTTCTATAGAAAAAACTATCAGTCCTGGGATCTGAGAATTTTTTCTTTAGAAACAACTTTTAGTCGTGGGGTATGAGAATTTTTTTATAGAAAAATATCAGTTCTGGGATCTGAGAATTTTTTCTATAGAAAAAACTATTAGTCCTGAAGTTTAATTTTTTTTCTGTATAGAATTTTTTGTATAGAAAAATCTATCAGTCCCAGGTGAACTAAGAATTTTATCTATAGAAAAAATATGAGTTCTGGATTATAAGAATTTCTTATATATAGTGACTACATCATTTAGGGACCCTAATTGTTTAAATAGGGTAGATTTTTTTTAAAGCCTCTAAATAATTTAATTTTTAAACCCATTTAAGGGGACCCCCCCATTCTCGGGGTCAAAATTTTTGTTGATATAATTCGAATCTACACTGATTAAAGGATGTCGCTACAAAATTTCAAGTGAAAATCTTAAGAACTCTTGAAGATATATCCGATTTATTGTGTCAGCATCAAGTGACGGCTGAAGGGCTTCTCAAACTTTAAACGCGTTTTTCTCTAAACATTTTTTGCAAATGGCGGGCACGATAACTCAAAAACTAATAATCCAATCGGTTCCAAATTTTGCAACGTTTCTCTGGGAGTGTATAGCTCTCGTATGAACTAGGATAATGCCAATCCTTGAAGATCATCCTTATTTTTGAACTTGGTTTTTGGTAAAAAATCGGCGATTTTCCAAAAATATTTTTTCAAAGGTCCACCATTTCGTTAATTTTAGAGCGAAGTCAATAATCCTAGTTCATACGAGAGCCAGACATGTACTCTTTCTAACACCGTTGAAATTTTCGGATTCCGATGATCCAGTGAGGAGTTATCATGCCCGCCATCAAAAATAAGGACTTTTCTTTAATTACAAAAAACAACAACAAAACAATAACAAAATTTTTTTGTAAATTATTTTTCTTCTTTTTTAAATATTCAATTATATGTGTGCAAAGTTACAAACCTTAATAAGCATTGGTATTGATTTACCAGCCCATTGAAAATCTTGAAAAATTAAAATCGAGAATGGGTGGGGTTCCCTTAAGTAGAAAACTATCATTGGGTATCTGGAATATTTTTTTTTAATTCTGCAGAGAAATCTTTTTTCAATAATTCACACTTTAAAATAATCCTTGGATTATTTTAATACACGCATTTAGATAAGTTAAAAAAAGATTTTTCGAAAGAAAAAAAAAACTTTTTCATATAGGTCTTGAAAAATTATTCTGATATTTTTTTTTTTTTTTGGAAAAATATCAGTTGTGGGGGTCTGGGAATTTTTCCTATACAAGAACCTATCAGTCCTAACGAGAATTTTTTTATAGAAAAAATATTAGTCCTGTAGTCTGAGAATTTTTGATATATAGCGATGGGACTGCCATCTATCGTTGTCTAGAAACATCGCCGCATTTAATTATTTGCAGTAGATAAAGTGTTTCACTTACTTAGTTTTGGTTATTAGAATGTAAGGGGCTTCGGATGCTAAACCTTGACACGCTGTTCTAATTAATACGTGTCGAAAGTTTGTTTTTCGATATTTTAGAAAAAACTCTCTTTTTTATTTTTTCTCTCCCTTTACCGCTCTTGGGAGAATAGAACAGCCAGAAACAACGCCGCATTGATTTATTTGCAGTTGTTAAACTGTTTTCCATTTTCCTCTGGGTGGCACTATATCCTACAATTTCTATTTCGTGTTATAATCATATGATGAGGTTGATGTCGCGGTTGGTAGTATGGGGCTTCGGATGCTAAACCGTGGCACCCTGTTCTAATTAATTGGGATCGAGTGTTTTTTTTTTCGATGTTTTACCAAATACTCGGTAAATATCTCGACACATGTTTGGTATTATGAATGCGTAACTCATGTGGGCTATATCATTGTAAATTGGCTACAGAAGTGATATTATCCTACGAGAAAACTAAATACAAAGATCAAAGATCGAGACTTACATCAAAAAATGTATTTTTTATCTCTTTCGCTGCTCTTGATAGCATAAAAAACATCCACAAAACATCGTCATTTGATGACACTGCCATCTATCGTTGTCTAGAACCAACGTTGCATTGCATTAGTTGCAGTGGTTGAGGTGCGTCACATATAGTTTTGCCATTTTCCTTTGTGTGGAACTATACTCTACTATTTACATTTCGTAGTATTTCGTATGGGGCTTCGGATGCTGAACCTTGACATGTATTGGCAAATTGTTCTAATTAATTGGGATCGAAAGATTTTTTTTCGATATTTTAACAAAAACTCCGTTGATATTTCGACCCATTGTTTGGCTTTGTGAATGCGTAACTCATGTGGCCTATACCTTTGTAAATTGTCTACAAAAGAGGGGTTTATCTTATGAGAAAGCTAAATAGTAAGACTTGAAAAATGTATAGAGGGCTCTGTAAAAAAATAAATAAATACAAAAAAAAAAAAATAAATAAATAATGCTTTCCTGTTTAAAAGGGTACTATTAAGCATAAAATTTACACAAAGCATTCCCATGTGATGGCACTGCCATCTATCGATGTCTAGCAAAAAAAGATGCATTACATTATTAGTTGTGGTTATTATTTATTTAGTATTGGCGATGGAGCTGTCATCTATCGTTGATTAGAAACAATACCGCATTAAAATGTTTGAAGTGGTTGAGTTGAGTTTTTTGACATTTTCCTCCAGGCTGCGCTATCTGCTCACATTCCCAAAAATTCATTTGTGAACTTTTTGGATTTTTTTTATATGTAACATGAAAAGGATCATCATTGGAGAGGATATATTTTAATGGGAGATTTAATATGTTATCATACGATTAGACTGTTGGAAACTGCTTGAAATCCACCATAGTTAGAGGGGCAAAAAAATAAGCTTCATGTTATCTCTCATGCAGTCTCATAGTTTTACCATTGCTGAAGGCATTTTCAATTGATCATAATTGCTCATCAATTCCTGCACAATTGTGTACTCGAATTTTGGTTATTTATCGACGCAAAGTAGAACTCTGATTATCATTTTCTTAAATCGTTTTTTTTTCTGCTTAAAAATTACGTATTAATTTGTTTATACAAATATTATATGTTATAATAGACAAAAATTTTTTATCTATTTATACTTATTTTTAACCCATTTATTTTTTTTATTACAGAGTCTTGGTTTCCCATTGGCATCGCTGGTTCCCATAAACCGTACATCGGCTGAATTGCGTTACCTTTTGGGATCGCCCTGTCCGGAAGATAAAAACACCCTCATGTCGTCAAAAATTGAAGTTACATGTCAAATGAGAGCTGGTCGGGTAAGAGTTTATATCAATTTTGTTACAAATTCAAAAAATATATGTTTTCGAGTTGGCATGTGATCAGCCAGAATGAGGAATGTATCCCTTTTCTATTTCTAGTACTTGTAAATATCAAAGACAAAGACAATAATTTGAATCTTAAAATATTGAAAAATGTGGCTCATAAGATTTTAGATAGGGTCCCCAAAATCAAGAAATCGATATTCGTATGTTTTCATCGTCCTTTTGCACTTTCCTTTATATCTATGTACACTAGGGTTATGACTTTTTGACTTTTTTACAATAGGCCCTGGAATTCCAAATTACAGACACTTTGTTATTCTAAAATACAGACACTTCTGTATTGAAGGTCATGTCGGACTTTGATTTATGGGATTGCATGCTCACAAGGTTGTCAGAGGTCGGATGTTGTAAGATTGCTCTTTGAGCGAGTTATTTCCGAGATAGGAAGCCTTATGTCATGGGAGCCACTGCATTGGCCTGGAGGGACAAGGTTGCCCACAGGGTTCCATTTGTGGTCCATGTATATGGAACCTAATGATGGATTCTCTGTTTTGGGAGCTACCTCCAAAGTTTGTCGTATGCGGACGCCTTGCTTCTAATGATTGATAAGCAACGACTATCCCCTTCTTAAACTGGAAAATCGTTGTGGGCAAGTTATGCAGAATGCGTAGGCCTGTAGTGACCGAGTTGGAGTGAAGGTGGCAACCGAGAACACGGTGCTGGTACCGCTGAAAGGTAGGTTGGCATACAACCGTCCTTCCTTCATTCGAGCTGGTGAATGCGGAATACGGTATTGTAGTACTGTTATGTATCTCAGATAACGGTGTTCGAGATCTTGGTCGGTTGAAGGAGAGGCTGACAATTGTCGTTGGTACCATCAATAGTGTTTTCGGACCGATTGGGGCTTGAGTATATGGTAATTGGTTACCTGTGCAACTTATGCTTCACCTATGTGGTACAAAGCTGCATTGACTGTATTACGACAGAAGAAGCTCCTTTTGTGCCAGCGGGTCGTCATGCTAGCATGGTTGCAGATGCTGTTTGGCGCATTGCCGCTTGATCTTATGCGTGGATTGCAGTTGGATGAGGATGATTGGCTCAGGAACCATATACTGACGGAATGTTGTTACTATGAAGATATGGGTATATAGAATGTAGAGGTGGGATTTCAATAAGGTTCTTGCAGACAATCAGTTGTTTGAGTAGTTTTTCTCCTGAAGCGTTTAGGAGAAGGCTAGAACTTAGTGAACTTTTTCGTGTATAGTCTTCTTGTTAGAGGTCTCGAACCTGATCTGAGGTTTTCCATGCCGCGAGTGTCAGGTGCACCAGGATCTGTTGATCCGGCCTGACTATTGGTGGGAAACAAGAAGAAGCACTTCGGTGCTGGTGAGCGTTATTCCACCTGTGGCTCAGCCACTGTGGGTAGGCTAAATGGCTAGAGATGGGCAGTGGGTAAATACCCGGTAAATTGGTTAAATACCCGGTAAATTGGGTAAATACCCATTTGTGGGTATTTATTTGGGTATTTACTATATTGAATCGGTAATACAACATCTTGCACCCTATTTCCGGGTTTCTGTTATCAAATCGATTTAGAATAGATAGTTTTACGATACTTTAAAGACGTGGGTAAATACTTGGGTAAATACCCGAGTTTTTACCCGAAAAATGGGTAAAAACTCATTAACTGCCGAACCACTTGACATAGGCGGCCAAAATTTTGCACACATGTTTCTAATGACAAAGCAAATATAGAAATCCAACATGGGGTCCCTGGGTCCAAGTTTTGATATAGCCCCCATATAACCGTATCTCCCGATTTAAGGTATTTTTAGCCTATTAGACACATTTTAAGGCCAAATTGGCTGTAATTTTGCACAGAGTGTTCTTTTCGAGTACAAAATGTCCATGCAAAATTTTATGTATGTAGGTCCACGTTTACTGGTAGCCCCTATACAAAGGTACCCCTATTATGAGTATTTACCCAAAAATTGGGTATAAACTCATTAACTGCCGAACCACTTGACATAGGCGGCCAAAATTTTGCACACATGTTTCTAATGACAAAGCAAATATAGAAATCCAAAATGGGGTCCCTGGGTCCAAGTTTTGATATAGCCCCCATATAACCGTACCTCCCGATCGGCAGTTAGTGAGTTTATACCCAATTTTTGGGTAAATACTCAAAATAGGGGTACCTTTGTATGGGGGCTACCAGTAAACGTGGACCTACATACATAAAATTTTGCATGGACATTTGGTACCCAAAAAGAACACTCTGTGCCAAATTACAGCCAATTTGGTTGTAAAATGTGTCTAATAGGCAAAAAATACCTTAAATCGGGAGATACGGTTATATGGGGGCTATATCAAAACTTGGACCCAGGGACCCCATGTTGGATTTCTATATTTGCTTTGTCATTAGAAACATGTGTGCAAAATTTTGGCCGCCTATGTCAAGTGGTTCGGCAGTTAATGAGTTTTTACCCATTTTTCGGGTAAAAACTCGGGTATTTACCCAAGTATTTACCCACGTCTTTAAAGTATCGTAAAACTATCTATTCTAAATCAATTTTTGGGTAAATACTCAAAATAGGGGTACCTTTGTATGGGGGCTACCAGTAAACGTGGACCTACATACATAAAATTTTGCATGGACATTTGGTACCCAAAAAGAACACTCTGTGCCAAATTACAGCCAATTTGGTTGTAAAATGTGTCTAATAGGCAAAAAATACCTTAAATCGGGAGATACGGTTATATGGGGGCTATATCAAAACTTGGACCCAGGGACCCCATGTTGGATTTCTATATTTGCTTTGTCATTAGAAACATGTGTGCAAAATTTTGGCCGCCTATGTCAAGTGGTTCGGCAGTTAATGAGTTTTTACCCATTTTTCGGGTAAAAACTCGGGTATTTACCCAAGTATTTACCCACGTCTTTAAAGTATCGTAAAACTATCTATTCTAAATCAATTTTTGGGTAAATACTCAAAATAGGGGTACCTTTGTATGGGGGCTACCAGTAAACGTGGACCTACATACATAAAATTTTGCATGGACATTTGGTACCCAAAAAGAACACTCTGTGCCAAATTACAGCCAATTTGGTTGTAAAATGTGTCTAATAGGCAAAAAATACCTTAAATCGGGAGATACGGTTATATGGGGGCTATATCAAAACTTGGACCCAGGGACCCCATGTTGGATTTCTATATTTGCTTTGTCATTAGAAACATGTGTGCAAAATTTTGGCCGCCTATGTCAAGTGGTTCGGCAGTTAATGAGTTTATACCCAATTTTTGGGTAAATACTCATAATAGGGGTACCTTTGTATAGGGGCTACCAGTAAACGTGGACCTACATACATAAAATTTTGCATGGACATTTTGTACTCGAAAAGAACACTCTGTGCAAAATTACAGCCAATTTGGCCTTAAAATGTGTCTAATAGGCTTGAGTATATGGTAATTGGTTACCTGTGCAACTTATGCTTCACCTATGTGGTACAAAGCTGCATTGACTGTATTACGACAGAAGAAGCTCCTTTTGTGCCAGCGGGTCGTCATGCTAGCATGGTTGCAGATGCTGTTTGGCGCATTGCCGCTTGATCTTATGCGTGGATTGCAGTTGGATGAGGATGATTGGCTCAGGAACCATATACTGACGGAATGTTGTTACTATGAAGATATGGGTATATAGAATGTAGAGGTGGGATTTCAATAAGGTTCTTGCAGACAATCAGTTGTTTGAGTAGTTTTTCTCCTGAAGCGTTTAGGAGAAGGCTAGAACTTAGTGAACTTTTTCGTGTATAGTCTTCTTGTTAGAGGTCTCGAACCTGATCTGAGGTTTTCCATGCCGCGAGTGTCAGGTGCACCAGGATCTGTTGATCCGGCCTGACTATTGGTGGGAAACAAGAAGAAGCACTTCGGTGCTGGTGAGCGTTATTCCACCTGTGGCTCAGCCACTGTGGGTAGGCTAAATGGCTAGAGATGGGCAGTGGGTAAATACCCGGTAAATTGGTTAAATACCCGGTAAATTGGGTAAATACCCATTTGTGGGTATTTATTTGGGTATTTACTATATTGAATCGGTAATACAACATCTTGCACCCTATTTCCGGGTTTCTGTTATCAAATCGATTTAGAATAGATAGTTTTACGATACTTTAAAGACGTGGGTAAATACTTGGGTAAATACCCGAGTTTTTACCCGAAAAATGGGTAAAAACTCATTAACTGCCGAACCACTTGACATAGGCGGCCAAAATTTTGCACACATGTTTCTAATGACAAAGCAAATATAGAAATCCAACATGGGGTCCCTGGGTCCAAGTTTTGATATAGCCCCCATATAACCGTATCTCCCGATTTAAGGTATTTTTAGCCTATTAGACACATTTTAAGGCCAAATTGGCTGTAATTTTGCACAGAGTGTTCTTTTCGAGTACAAAATGTCCATGCAAAATTTTATGTATGTAGGTCCACGTTTACTGGTAGCCCCTATACAAAGGTACCCCTATTATGAGTATTTACCCAAAAATTGGGTATAAACTCATTAACTGCCGAATCACTTGACATAGGCGGCCAAAATTTTGCACACATGTTTCTAATGACAAAGCAAATATAGAAATCCAAAATGGGGTCCCTGGGTCCAAGTTTTGATATAGCCCCCATATAACCGTACCTCCCGATCGGCAGTTAGTGAGTTTATACCCAATTTTTGGGTAAATACTCAAAATAGGGGTACCTTTGTATGGGGGCTACCAGTAAACGTGGACCTACATACATAAAATTTTGCATGGACATTTGGTACCCAAAAAGAACACTCTGTGCCAAATTACAGCCAATTTGGTTGTAAAATGTGTCTAATAGGCAAAAAATACCTTAAATCGGGAGATACGGTTATATGGGGGCTATATCAAAACTTGGACCCAGGGACCCCATGTTGGATTTCTATATTTGCTTTGTCATTAGAAACATGTGTGCAAAATTTTGGCCGCCTATGTCAAGTGGTTCGGCAGTTAATGAGTTTTTACCCATTTTTCGGGTAAAAACTCGGGTATTTCCCAAGCATTTACCCACGTCTTTAAAGTATCGTAAAAC